AATGCCAACACACTTAGCATCAAACGAATCCACCCGTACATTTAGGAAAATCCAAAAAAAAACCGTGGACCTAAGTTAGGCCACGAATCCCACCCGCCCTACAGGGCGTGGGTGGTCTAGGGTGTTTTGTATTCCATCTGCCCCTCTTCCCCCTTCAGAGAGGGGTGTACCCCTCCTCCTACCCCCTCCCCTGGACCTGGACAGGGCTGGTCGCGAGGTGTCAGGGCGTCCAAAACGGCCTCGGCGAGAAAGCCAAAATTATTGGTTTTACTAAGATTTTGGCTCCATGTTGGCCTCTTGGGGGGGCACCGCTAATTATAGCTCCCCTCTTGTTTGAACGATGTCCACCAAGATGGCCCCAAGAGCGCTCCCAAGGCTCCCAAGAGCGCTTCAAGAGGGCCTCAAGAGGCGCCCAGGATGCCCCAGGAGGCCCCAAGAGGCCCCAAGAGGCCTCCAAGAGGCTCCCTAGAGACCCCCAAGAGGCCCCAAGAAGCTCCCCGAGACACCCAAGACGCTCCAAGAGGCCTCCGGGACCGACAAGAGGCCCCCAAGACGCTCCAAGAGGCCTGCAATGGGGGACCCTTCCTCTGCGTGCTGCCCGCTTCCCTGATCGAGGCAACTCCTCTGAGCATCGTTTCTGGATGGGCTGGTGGGGTTACGCGGAGCGTCTAGAATTCATTGTGTTATTAGTGACATCTGGGATGCCCAGATCGTTTCCGCGCCCATTTCGCCCCCCCGAGCCTAGGTCCGCGTACCCACTTCTGGGGACATCAAAACCACGGACCTCTCCCAGGGTGCGTTCTGACCGCAGCTTCGAGACGAAACCCGCCGTGGCGGCGAGGGCCTCGCAGGAGGCCCAAAGAGGGGAAAGACGAGGGAAGGGTAGCAGTATGGTGACATCTTCCTCCTTTGAATAGACGGAAAAAAAACGGCATTAACATAACCTTCTGGCGCTCCGCGCGGCTTTCTTGGATCTAAGCCAGACCCCCCTCTCTGGCGCGCGGAGCACGCCCGGGGCGGCGCCAGTGGCGCTGCCGCGGGGGGCCCAGCGCGGATCCAAGAAATCCGCGCGGAGCGCCAACAAGTTTATGTTGACGGCGGTTTTTCTTCTTCGAATATAGTGACCTTCTCCTCCTCTGAACCTGTTCCCCGGGACCGGTTCGGTCTCTGAGGGCCCCGAGGCCCAGGAAGGGCCCCCAGAGGCCGAAAATGGCGGAGAGCCTCTCCCGTCGTGATTGCTGTCTCGCCCCTCGCGGGGGCCTGGGAGCTTCGGCCCCCCCGCGCCTGGGCCTGCGGCTGCGGGCTGCTCGCGGGCCTGCCGGCGCAGGCCTGCCCGCGCGCGCCCGGCGGCGGACCGGCCCGCGGCCCCAGGGGCGGGCTCGCCGCGGCGAGCGCGGGCAGCTCCAGCGCGGGGGCGCCGGGCCTGGCGCGAGGGGCGGGCCGGCGGGCCTCCCGGGCGTCATCGGTGGCAGGTCCTCACTGCTGCAGGCGTGCTGCAGCGGGTTTGGTGCGTGGGTTTTGCGGTCAATGCAAAAAAAGCCCCGACAACGGCGAGCGCAGCACGAAGCAAATGCCACGTGGATGTTCGTTCAGGCCTCATTCCTGGCCCGAACACAATCCGCACGAAATTTACTGCGCAATTCAGAACGAAATTCTCCAGGACACTCCAGGCCCATCCTACTGTTTTCCGAACGAAATCCGCTCTGCGGTGTTGGCGCCATGAAACTCATGGGAGCCTCCCATCTTGCTGCCCAGACCCTCTCGAGCAATGGCAAACATCGTGACGGGAGGTGTTTCGCAATTGTCGGCCTCTGGGGACCCTTACTGGGCCTCGGGGCCATCAGAAAACTGCTCGGGATGACAAACCGGTCCCGGGAATAGGTCGAGACCTCGGGGGGTCGACATTATAAAAAGAACATGACGTCGGGGGTCTGGGCTGCTGGCTCTTGCTGGCCGACGATGGCCCGAAGCTAACCGGCGTACAACCGACGCGGCCTCGATGCCAGATCATCAGTGTCTCATCGATTAAATCATACCAGACGCTAGCGCAAGCCAGTGCACTTTGAAAATACAATTTCAAGGGCATACAATGCTCCCATGATTTACTACCGAAGACATCCAGCGTCTCCAGAACATGGAGAGGAGGTTTTTGAGCGTTTTCGACCTCCAGGGGCCCTCGTTGGGCCCCAGGGCCGTCAAAGAACACTTAGGATGCAAACCTGGCCCAAGGAAAGTGGTCGGGAGGTCGGGGGTCCGTGTCTCGAAACAATGGAGACGCCGGATGTCTGGGTTCGTCGTCGGGGCCAAGATAATGAACGGACAGCACGACCTCATACGACCCGCGCCTCGCGATGCGACGGCGCGCCATAAGCATGGGAGCGCGTTGTCGGACCTCGACTTGGTCTCCCACTCGAGCGGTCATCCCCATCCGACAACACGCACCCATACAGTGGAGGCCAGTCCCCAAGAAACCTTCCACAAGAAACCCAGCCCTGAGTACCCAGGACGTCCATTGATTTTTGGTGCGGGAACGTCACGCATTCCATAGCAAAACCCTCGAAACCCAAGAAACCCAGGGCACCCTGGAGGCAAGCACGGTGTGTCTAGGCATGGGCCCCCACTGTAGGCCCCCCTCCCCCACCAGAAGTCCATCCCGGAACATCCGAGGGCCCTACATGTATGGGCATGAACTGTCAGCTCGTGACAACACGGGCGGCCTGCCCGGCCGTGAGGCTTGCACAGCAGGTGCAGGGCCACAAGAACGCGCGCCAAGAGCGCGAGCCCCTTCACGGGAGGCCAAAGTGCGGGGCGGGAATTTATCCAGATCCACCGCCTGGGAGCTGACTTCCTGGTGCCCAACCGACTATACCCATAGCCACTGCCTGTGGAGGTCCGCGAAGATCGATCCCCCGGGCGGTGGTTCTGGATAAATCCCTGCCTCGAAGAAAGCCCCACGGAGGCATGGAGACACCCGAAACGAAGGCCACCTTCAGCGACGAAACGAAACGGCTCCCGCGCGAGGCGGCACAGCGACCTCACGCGGTGGCTTGCGCGGGCCGCCAGCGCGGCACGCCACACTGCACGCGAGAGGGGGCGCACGCGCGACCGCACGCGGGCAGCGTACCCGCGAATGTCGGCGCAGTTCTGCCCGGAGGAGGAGGAGGAGGAGGAGGAGGAGGAGGAGGAGGAGGAGGAGGAGGAGGAGGAGGAGGAGGGAGGAGGAGAGAGGAGGAGGAGGAGGAGGAGGAGGGAGGAGGAGGAGGAGGAGGAGGAGGAGGAGGAGGAGGAGGAGGAGGAGGAGGAGGAGGAGGAGGAGGAGGAGGAGGAGGAGGAGGAGAGGGGCGTGCGAAGGCCGGGCGAGGGATGCCCAAGAGGAGGCGGGCAGGCACACGGAGCAGGAGGGCGCGGAGGGCAGACTGGGCCTCCGCCCGCCCCCAGAGAAGCCAGGAGCTGGGCAAGCCGCTCGATGACTGGAGCAGGCAGGCGCCCGAAGCAGATTGACACCCGAGGGGCCAGCAGAGAGAGACCACTCTCAACAACGACGGGTGCGGCAGGCTCGTGTCGTGACGAGCCCGGCGCTGGCTCTCTGACGCCGCGTGGACCAGGAAGCCTTGAACGATCAGCAACTTCTCGATCGCCAAATCGTTCCATATTGGCCGCGTCTGGGCCACTGGCGGCGCTCCACCGTGAACGCCCGCGCCGGGGTCTCAGCCGCGCCGGTACGACGCGGGCCTGCCGTGCTCGCGTGAAAGCCGTCGGGCCTGGTCCTGGGCTGGCCGCGCCAGGCGTTCCTCGGTTTCCTGGCAGGCGTTCCTCGGTTTCTTGGCAGGGCCTTAGGGGTGGGCGGCCACACGAGAGGGCTGGGGGGGGGCTCTGCCAATCGGCGGTTCCAAGACGGGGCCCTCAGCGATGGGACCATCAAGAGTAAGAAGGGATTCCAGACTGAATTTCCATTGTGGGCCCCATCACTCAGGGCCCCATCTTTGAGCCGCTGGTCAAAAAAGGGCCCGCGCCACTTCACAAGCCATGCGCCCCGCGCCTTTCGAGGGCTCGGGGGGCGCACGGCGGGCGGAGCAGGGGCAGGCTTGGAGAAAAAATCGCTCGGAAGCGGCCCCTGGAAGAAGGAAGTGTGATCACCCAGTCGGGTGCGTTCCCCGACCCCACCTCGGGCCTCTCCCCCGCTCTATTTACCCCCGAGAGAGGCGGGGGGGGGGGGGCGTTCATGGAAGCCTCCCCCCCGAACTCTCCGTGCCCCCCCCCCCAAGCTGCGCGCCGCAAGTGCTCTGGAGGGGCGCCAGGGGAGCGGGGGCAGGAGCTGTGCTGGGGCAGGAGCGCACAGCCACCGCGCCGCCACCAGGGAGCGCCGGAGCGCGGAACCGAGGAACGAGGAGCTCCTCCGGCCACGGCGATGCTCGGCCTCGGCGCCAGGGCACCCGCCCCAGACCCGAGGAAGCGCAGGGAAAGCAGGCACCCCGCCTGAGCCCAGAGTGGTGGGCTTGTTTTCCGCCCCCAGCCACCATAAGTAGGAGGGGAGGGGGTCCTCCTCCTCCTCCTCCTCCTCCTCCTTCTCCTCCTCCTCGTGCTCCTCCTCCTCCTCCTCCTCCTCCTCCTCCTCCTCCTCCTCCTCCTCCTCCTCCTCCTCCTCCTCCTGCTCCTCTTCCTCATCCTCCTCCTCCTCCTCCACCTCCTTCCCCCCTCTAACTTATGGCGGTGGTGGTGGAAAGCAGGCACATCGCAGAGTGGCCCCTGAAAATGTTGCGGCGCCCTGGCCGCAGGACGGGAGGCACGGAAGAGCGGCAGCGGCACAGGAAGACTCGGCATGAGCGGGCGGGGGAGGATCGATGGTCCTCGGAACGTGTGCTTGCGCCAACGTGTGCTGGTCCATCGAGACCCTTCAATACCACATAACAGGCGATGTAATGATCGACCGGTGGAGCTCAGGAAGTGGGATAAGCACACATTAGGCTGACACACGTCCTGAGGATCATCGAGAGGAGCGGGGGAGCGGGAGGTCCGGGCCCGCCCGAGGGCGGAGGGTCCCTCTGGCGCGGCCGAGCTCGGCGACTTGCCCGCAGGCAGCCGCTGCTTCAGACGAAGAGGTCGCGCGTCAGCCGGAGGTATGGCGGCCCCCTCCCGTCGGGCGCAGTGTCGCGGCGCGCCCTCAGCGACACGCCCTCGTGCACCGTCCGGCTGTTCGCCAGTCTGAACACGGCCTGCTCCTCCTCGACGTCCTCGCCAGAGGCCCACACCCAGTTCCTCCCGGTGGACAACTCCCTGCTCATGGAGGGCCACAGGTACACGAAATCGCTGGGCCCGTATGTCATGAGCTCCACGGGTTCCCCCGTATCGTTGTCTATGACGTAGCCCGGGTACCTGCCGAAGACCCTCGTGAGCTTCTGGCCCGTGACCTCATTTTCGAGGGTCATGTGCAGCTCGGCGCTGGCGAGCTGCATCTCCGTCCTCTGGCGAATCTGCTCACCCGTGGGGGTGTCGGCTCTCATCTCGGTGACCAGCACGCCACCCCGCCACGAAAACTTCACGGATCCCCTGCAGATGCGGCCATCCTGGGGAAACCAAAGGGTAACGAAACCGCCACTCCCAATGGACCTCTCCCGGGGATGCGCTCTGACCAGAAGTTCGAGGCGAATCCGACGAGAGCCTCCCAGGAGGGCGAGAAAGGGGAAAAATAGGTGAAGGGGTAGGGTGCCCTTTCCCCTCCGGCATCCAGCGCCAGGAACCTGGCGTTCGGCAGCACGCCGCCCTCGTGCAGCATCCACGGCCAGACCTCCTGGTAGTACGTGCCGAGCGGGCTAAGGCCCCGCGCGCCCTGCCCGGGCACGGTCCCAGGGCCGCCGACCACGAGGTCGCACCAGAAGCTCGTCGTGGCGGTCATGCACAGCGCCTGTCTGCGGCAACCGCTTCGCTTCGCTTCGCTCGCGGCTCGATGTCCACGCGGGACGCAGCCGTTCGCGCGGGCGGGCCCGCGCGCGCGCCGAGGGCGCGTTGGGGGCCACCCCCCCTACACAGACCCCCGCCAGGATGGTCCAGGGAAGAAGCCGCCTAGGCTTCGCCAGGGGAGGGGCGGGGGCCAAAAAGGGCCGAGAAAAAAAAGAGCCCAGCGCCTGTCTGCGGCAACCGCGGGGGCCTCCCATGTCACCTTGCTGGCTCCTGCGAGTCGACGCTACAGTGGAGGCCAGTCCACAAGAAACCTTCCACGAGAAACCCAACCCTGAGACCCCAGGACTTCCGTTGATTGTTGGTGTGGGAGCGTCACGCCTTCCACAGCAAAACCATCGAAACCCAAGAAACCCAGGGCACCCTGGAGGCAAGCAGGGTGTTTCTTGGCATGGGCCTCCACTGCAATCGACGCTGACCGACGCTAAGTCGACACTCGTCTACGCTGAGTCTGCGCTGTCTCGTCGACTACCAGACGCTGGGCGCACGCCAGTGCACTCCAAAGCCGGCATTTCGAGGACCTGCAAGGCTCCCACGAATGCTACCAGTAGAAGACGCAGAAAAAGAAGAAACGGCATGAACATAAACTTTTGGCGCTCCGCGCGGAGCTCCAAACATTTCCATGCTTATGGCGTTTGTTCTTCTTCGAACCGAAGCGCCTTGTCGGCCCTGATCCTGAAGTACCACTGGGAGCTCTTGCTCCACATGGCCACCAGCTCGGAGCTCAGCACGCCCGCCAGCCGGCGCAGGCCGAGGTGCCGCGCCAGCCCCGACCTCGAGGAGCTCGCGTCGCAGCCGCCGAGGCCCGCCTGCAGCAGAGCGAGGCAGCCCTCGTCGCGCAGCCAGCGCCACCTGCCGCCGGCAAACGCCAGCGCCTCCATGGCGGCTCGCGCCGCGCAGCCGGGCTTGACGAACTCCTCCCAGCCCCAGGAGCCCATGACCGCGTTGATGGCGGGCCTGGCGAGGCCGACCTGGCACGCCGCGGCCACGTCGGCGCCGGCGCTCCGCACGCCCGTGCGCTCCTCCTGCCAGCTCTCTATGCGCAGGGGCTTGTCCAAGAATCGGAAGCTCTTCTTGCTCTTGTAGTACATGCCCTCCATCCGGGTCAGCAGCGTCTTCCTGCCCATCGGCTCCAGGATGGTCATCCTCTTCCCGTCGCCCGCAACCTCGAAGACGTGGTCCTCAGACTGCACGGTAACGTAGAGAGTCGTGCCATCCTCGAGCTCCCACTTGCCCTGCTTATCGTCGATCTTGTTCCATCCCACGCGCCCGTCGGAGTGGAACGTGACGTAGGCCGTTGCCTGCCGCCCGTCTTGGCGCCAGGCCCAGACGCTGTCCAGCAGGTCCTCCGAGCTCCACGGGCCCTGCTTCTGGGCCAGCTCGGGGATGCTCCAGATGTCCCCCATGTCCCACATGGTGATCGCTGGGCACTTGGAGTCGTGCCCCCGGCCCTCCTTGTCGAAGCTGACCCTCTGGTGGTACACCAGCTGGTCGCGGCCGTCGGCGTCTGGGTTCCTCCCGATCGCCTTCAGCAGTGCGCCGTCCATAGTCACACGGATCACGAACACGACTTCCCCAAGCGTTCCAACCTGTGCGGCGGGAGATCGCTATATCAGTCTCGGATACCAGCCCAGCGAGGGACGCACAGGCTGCGTGCGCACGCACCCGCTGGGGCCGCAGCTGGGGCTCCCTTGGGGGCGCGAAACGCGGTGTGTGTGTGTGTGACTGTGTGTGTTTGTGTGTGCGTGTGTGTATGTGTGCGTATGTGTGTGTGTGCGTATGTTTGTATGTGTGCATGTGTGTTTATGTGTTTGTGTGTCTGTGTGTGTGTCTGTGTGTCTGTGTGTGTCTGTGTGTGCGTCTGTCTGTCTGTGTGTTGTGCGCTGTGCGTTGTGAGTTGTGCGTTGTGCGTTGTGCCTTGTGCCTTGTGCGTTGTGCGTTGTGCGTGCTTGCATGCGTGCGTGCGTGCGTGTGTGCGTGTGTGATTGTGATTGCGATTGCCATTGTGGTTGTGATTGTGATTGAGATTGAGGTGGTGATTGTGATTGCGATTGTGGTTGTGGTTGTGGTTGTGTTTGTACTTGCGCTTGTGCTTGTGATTGTGATAATGTGTTTGTTTGTGTGCGTATTGTGTGTGTGGCTCTGTGTGTGCGTCTGTGTCTGTGTGTGTGTCTGTGTGTCTGTGTGATGTGCATTGTGTGGTGTGCGTTGTGTGTGTGCGTGCGTGCGCGCGTGGGTGCGCGCGTGCGTGCGCGCGTGCGTGCGTGAGTGCGTGTGTCTTTGCGTGTGGTGTGTGCGTGTGGTGGTGTGTGCGTGTGGTGGTGTGTGCGTGTGGTGGTGTGTGGTGTGGTGTGGTGTGGTGTGGTGTGGTGTGGTGTGGTGTGGTGTGGTGTGGTGTAGTGTGGTGTGGTGTGGTGTGGTGTGGTGTGGTGTGGTGTGGTGTGGTGTGGTGTGGTGTGGTGTGGTGTGGTGTGGTGTGGTGTGTGGTGTGGTGTGGTGTGGTGCGGTGTGGTGTGGTGTGGTGTGGTACGGTGGTGTGCGGTGGTGTGCGGTGGTGTGTGGTGTGCTGTGTGTTGTGTGTGTGTGTGTGTCTGTGCGTGCTCAGCTGCCGGGGCCTCGGCACGGTCGGCTGGCTGTCCTCTTTTCTGTCGTGCCCTTGGCACGACCGCGCGTCTCCTCGCGCTGCCCTCGCTTCTCCTCTCCCCCCTTTTGGGCCGCTGCCCCGACGGTGTCGTCCGCGGGCCTCTCGGCTTAGCCGCCAGTGCTGTGTTTTCGTTAGATGCCTGGCCCTGCGCGGCTTGCGGGGGCTCCTGCGGCCGCCCGGTGCGGTCGGCGCTTTCCGCGACCCTACCGCCTTGGGCGTCGTCGCGCGTCTCGCTTTGTGCCCTCCTCTGCGCACCGCCGCCATCTCCGAACCCCCCCGCGCCGAGCCGCGAGGCTGCCCTGGACGGGCGCCGGCAACAAGGCCACCTCGCCCCCCCAACCGCAGGAGGCCGTGGCTCCCGTCTTCTGTCTGGGCGCTCTGGCCGGCGCCGCGCTGCGCGGGGCCCGGGCGTGGGGCTGGCGCTCGTGGGGCGCGGGAACGCTGCACCCCTCGTGGGCTCTCTCGCGGGGGGGGCTGTGGTTGCTGCTGGTGCGGCATGCCTTGCTGGCGCTTGGCTGGCCGACTATCCTGGCGGGTAGTCGTTGTGCGCGCGCCGCTGCTGGCGGACACGTCGCCCTTGGCTGTCCCGCCGTGCCAGCACGGATGCGCGATCCTTGTGTTTTTGTTTGTGGCTCTTGTATTGTTTATTTGCTGATGGCTATGCTAGAATAGCTGCCGCAAACTACACCTCGGGAGACCTAGGGCAACGGATTCTATACTTAAAGATGGCGCTGCGGTGCGTGATCGGGCGCTGCATAACTCGAGACACAGCCGAAGCGGGACAACGACCCTCGAACTGGCACGCGATCAAACCAGATAAAACTAGCACCCCCCTGTTCAGAGCTCCAGCTTCGGCTTCGGCCGAATCGTTAACACTAGGAAAATAGAAAGCACAGTAAACTGAGGGTCGAAATTGCGCGCCTCCCTTACTGCTCCTCCCCCTCAGAACAACTCCCATTCCTCCTTCACAACTGTCGCATCTCCCCCCATCCGTCCACAACATGAACTGATCCAACATAGGCAAGATATTCCCAAGATCCGGCCGTACACCCGACTCGTCACGCTTGAAATCCATTGCCCAATTGCACAGACAATCTTCCTCCTGATTCTACTTGCGTTTCCGCCACTGTATCGGGTCGGAGGTATCAGATTTAGGTTGGGCTTGGGATATGAGCACCAAATGCAAAAAAGAGGTGTGTCGAAGGAGGAGTTGTTGCCAGTGGGATCCTTTAGCATGACCGCACGTGGTATCTGCAAGCATTTGACTATCAACAACACATACAAATCTGACCCCCCCTGTTCCCAGCCCTGCAGATCTGACAGATCGTCCTGGTACGGGATTGTCTCGAAGAGATCGCCGCCCTGCTCGAAAAAAGGTTCGTCGACGGAACTAGGTCACCCAGACGCCGGACGCCAGGTGGCGCCAGCTCAGCCAATGTGCGGTCATCGTCTTCCAATGGTCGTTTCAATTGCGGCCCTAAACTCCCATAGGCCGAAGACTTTGTTGGCGAAACACTGGACACGACATCCCGTTTCCGTTTCCCGCCCCTCGTCGTAATGGCCCCCCCCGTCGTAACAAATGGTTCCCGGCGCATTCCGTTGGTCCCTCCCCACTCTGGTAATTGCCACTGCTTGCAAATCGAGCTGATGAACTTGTTTTGACCTGTCAACCAATCCGCCCGGGGCCCCATCACGTCTTCAACCCGATCCGGAACGTTCTCATCCCAGAAATCCTCCATCCAGCACGGTGGACGGCCCTTCACTCGGTTTCTCCACTCCCCACCGTCATCCCGAAGAAAAGCTCTCGTCCGCGGCCCAGCTCCAAGAGCTTCCTCCCGGAGCCCGTCGCGCCAGTACATCGACAGTGACCGTAAAGGGTAAACGGCCTTGCCAGTAGTTTCCTCGTCTTCTGGCCGCTGCATGTTTCGTTTGGGCTAGCAGCTCACCTAAGAGGCTCATCGCTTGCATTCTGCAGTGTACGTCGCTTGTACGCTGCGCTACAGACAAGGTTCGGTTGCAAGTGGCACTTCCATCTGCTGTTCGCGCTTGAGGACCCTCTGCGCCGCTGACAAAAATGCATGTGGTGCGTGGGTGCGTGTGTACCGAAATGAGCGTGCCGACTGCATGCGCACGCCCCCGCTTGTGCCTTACTTCGGGATTCTTTTGGGCCACACGGCATGAAAGCGGAGTGCCAGAATGAGCGTCGACTATTTGCCAACACCTACTTCCAGGCCGTAGCCAGAGATCCGTGTCCACTGGGGCCGTAGCTAGAGGTCCCTCTGGGGCACGAAACATCCGAAAGGTGCGCCGAAATAAGAGCGCGCCGACTGCATGAAATCGTTGCCACCAGGCGGCGTGCCGAAATGAGCGCGTCGCATGCACGCGACCGTGCTCACTGGGGACCTAGCTGGAGCTCCCCAATCATAGGGCACGATGCGTGTGACGGCGGTGTCGCCATACGTGAGCGCGTCGACTGCATGCCCTCCGGGGCCGTACGTGGGGCTCCCTTTGGGCCTATGGGGCACGAAACGTTCGAGCGGTGTGCCGAAATGAGCGAGCGCCCCGACTGCATGAGGACGTGCCCACTGGGAACGTATCTGGAGCTCCCTCTGTGGCGCGAGTCGCACGAGGGGAAGCAACAACGGCGGCGGCTTGCGGCAGCGAAGCGAGCAGCAACAGCAGCTGCAGCGGCTGGCCGGCCAGCATCGGCAACAGCAGAGGCAGCAACGGCAGGGGCTGGCAGCGGCTGCCAGGGCAGCAGCATGCAGAAGGCAGCGCGGCGCCAACAGCGGCAGGGAGGGGGGAGGAGGGGGGGGGGGAGGGGGACGGAGGGAAGGAAGCGAGAACGCCGCGCAGCGGGGAAGAAGCGAGGGCCCAACTACACGGGATGGTTGGGGGAAGTTCACGGCAGCCGTGACTGCAAGATCGGTCAGCACCGCCTCAAGAGATCGGACGAATCGGAATGCGCGTCAGATCGGGCCGCATCGGCACGGAGCCGACACCGAAGCGGATCGGCCGCGCCTGGATGCACAGCACCGCCATGCAGGCATCGGGCCGCATCGGATCGTCGGGGTGTCGGCTTCGGATCGGACCGTGCTGCCGAAACCGATGATTCGAACCGGATCAGTCAGATCGAAATGAACCTTGAAGGGGAGGCAGCTGGCACTGTGGGGTCTCGTCAGCCACTCGCCAGCGGCAGAACAGCGGGGAGCGAGGGGAGAGGAGCGAGCTGCAACGAACAGGCGCCTCCGACTCGACCGTGTGGGAATTGATGAGCCAGCGGTCGTGCTCGGGGCACGGGTTCTTCAGGAGCTCCTCGCACGCGGCCCACAGCTGCTCGAAGCGGATGCCGAGCCTGTCCAGGGGCTCGGATATGCAGCTGAACCTACCCTTGTCCGTAGGGGAGTTCTTCTGCGGGTACATCTGGATGGGCGGGAACGCCACGTCCATTGTATCAGAAAAATAGCGCCGATCGACATGTCCATGGCAGAGGGGGGTTGGGCGTTTGAGCCAAAGAGGCTGAGCCACGTAGGGCATGAGGTGCAGTGAGAGCATGAGAGGGAAGCGAGAGCGGGAGCAGTAGCGGGAGCAGTAGCGGGAGCAGGAGCGGGAGCAGGAGCGGGAGGAGGAGGAGGAGGAGGAGGAGGAGGAGGAGGAGGAGGAGGAGGAGGAGGAGGAGGGGGAGGAGGAGGAGGAGGGGGAGGAGGAGGAGGAGGAGGGGGAGGAGAAGGAGGAGGAGGAGGAGGACCATCCGCACCGCCAAGCTCCTCCGCACCACCGCGCTACCGATGGCTCGCCCGTGGGCGCTCACGCGATGTTGCTCGGGTTGAAGCCGACCCGCCCGTTCAACTTCTCCAGGAACGAAATCTGCCCCATCTCTGCGTCGGACAAGGTCCAGCCAGCGGCGCCCAGGTTCTCCCGCAGGCGAGCCGGGTCGCTGCTGAAGGCCACCGGCGGGATGCCCTGCTGCAGCAGCCAGCGCAGGACCACCTGCGCCGGCGTCCTGCCGCGCGCCTCTGCGATCCTCGTCAGGACCCTGTTCTCGAGCATGTTGAGCTCGCCGTGGGCAAGCGGCGACTGCGCCATGACCTGTATGCCCTCGCCTTCGCAGTACTCGATCAGCTCGGGCTGCTGGAAGAACGGGTGGACCTCGATCTGGTTCACCGCGGGGCGCGTCCTGCAGACGGGCAGCAGCTCCTTCAGGTGCCTGCGCGTGAAGTTGGCCACGCCGAGCGCGCGCGCCTTCCCAGAGGCCAGGGCCGACTCCATGGCCCGCCAGGTCTCCTCGCGCAGCTGGCGGTTCCGGGCAGGACTTTGCACGGCGTCGATGGTCCCTGGAAAATGCACGATCGAAGAAGAAAAAACTGCACAAACATTCACTTTCGGAGGCCCTCGCGCAGCTGTTGGAGCGGCGCCGCCCTGGCGGCGCCTCCGCCGGGACCTCCGACAAGTTATGCTTATGCCGATCTGTCTTCTCCAGCATGAGGAGCAGGTCCACGTAGTCGGTGCGCAGCCGCACCAGCGACTCGTCGATGGCACCCGTCGCTCTGGGGCCCATGTCGTCGAACCAGACCTTCGTCACCACCATCACCTCGCCCCGGGGCACTCCGGACCTGGCGAAACCCTCCGCGACCGCCTCCTCGTTGTCGTAGTGGCTCGCCGTGTCCACAAGCCGGTACCCGGCCGCGAGGCCCTCGGCAACCTGCCGGGCACTCTCCGCGCCCTTCAGACAGCAGGTGCCCAGCCCCACGGCCAGAGGCACCACCGCGGGCGCGGCAGCCCCCGCCGGCTCCGGCCGCAGCTGCGGCGCCGCCAGCCCCGCGGCCAGCGCAGCTTCTCGCCTGCCGCAGACCCGCACCGCCGCCCGCCGCAGGGTGCGGTGCGGCCTGCACAAGCATCTGGCCCCGGCGCCTGCGACCGCTGCAGCAGCAGCCGCTGCGCGCTGCGTGCGGTGCGCCCCGCCCTGTCCTGGCGCCAGAGGCCCCCGCCCGGCCGGGAGCCGGCGCGCGGCCGCGGCGGCGGCGGCCGGCGGCCCGCAGAGCGGCCGAGCGGCTGGAGGACGCATGGCTTCCAACCGAATGGCCGATCTCGAGCCAGAACGGGAGCTGCAGAAGACAACGACCGACCGACCGACCGACTGACCGACCAACGACGACGACGACAACCACCAACAGACGATCGACGAGCGACGGAAAGTCCGACCACGATGACGATGACGACCGACCACCGACCACCGACGACCGACGATCGACGACGACGACGACGACCGATGACGACGACGACCGATGACGACGACGATGACGACGACAACGACGACGACGACGACGACAACAACAACAACCGACGACAAACAACAGACGATCGACAACCCACGACCGACGACGACCGACGACAACCAAAGGTAGAACTGCCGAAGCCCTTATGCCTGGATTTCGAGCTTTCGGACCAACAGTGAGACCCGTTATAGGGAAGGGAAGGGGAAAACAGAGAGGAGAGGGACCTGGAAAGTGGGGGCGGGAGGGAAGGTGAAGAGGACGGCGTGGAAAGGTGACGGAGGGAAGAGAGAGAGTGCGCATATTTGGGGAGTCCGTCGCGCGACGCGCTGACGGCCACTGCAGAGCGGGGGAGGACCCTGTGGCCCTCCCCCCACCCGCCAGACGCTCCCCAAAAAGCTCCCACAAGAGGATCGCGGCGGGGAGAGCGGCGAGCAATGAGCTTAGAATCTGGTGAAGGTCAGGACTGAAAGGTAAAGATAAAGGGACCTCAGGATCAGACACTCGCAACCTCAGTTGGCCTGAAGCGGCCTCGCGCAGTCGCAAATCCGAGGGGTGGCGGTGTCAGAAGTTCATGACTGTGAGAGGTTCCACGCTCACTACATGGAGGCGGGGGGCACGGATCGAGAGGAGCGAAAGTCCTGCCCGTCGGAATCATCCCGCAAGGCAAACATTTTACAATTACACCTCAGAAAACCCCAATCAGTGGATGATTTGAAAATTGATCATATGGATCTTGAGATCGTTTGTGAGATCAATAATGATAACGATAGTGGAATCGATAGTGAGGACGATTGTAAGGTCGATCGTGAGACCGAGAGTGAAATCGATTCAATGAGATCGACAGTGAGATCGATCGCGAGATCGCTCATGCGATCTCTAGTGAGATCGCTTGTGAGATCGATAATGAGATCGATGGTGAGATCGATAGTGATATCGATAGAGAAGTGGGTAATGAGATCGATGGTGAGACCGATCGATAAGAAGATCGACCAAGAACCCAGGAACCCAGGAACCTCGCCGCCCTCCGAAATCGGCCCGGAACCAGGAACCTGGGAACCCAGAACCGGGAACCCGGGAACCCAGCCAGCAACCAAAATCGGAGGGAAACTTCCGCAAAATCCTACAACATCCGCGAGGACCCCTTCAGTGCAAGCACTGATTGGGGAACATTACCGGAAGAAGCTACACACCTGTGTCCTCCAGCCCTGCGTGGGCGAACACTGCCTTCAGCAAACAGCGAAAACTGGAGTCGAGAGCTGAGAGTGCACGACCCCGCCTCTTGGCCCCTGGTCGGGGACGCACTGACCCGGGTCAATCCAGACCTGGGTCAGTCAGGCCTTGCAAAAACTTGCAAAGTCCTGCAAGATCCCGCACCCAAACCCGGGTCGATGCGAAGGATCCCGCAAGACCTTGCATGGTCCTGCAAAATCGGGCGCTCTGGCTGACCCCCGTTTGCATTGACCCCCGTCTCTTGAGCCCCGACCTGGGTCCGCAACAGCTTGCCCGGGGGAGCCGAACTCTCAGTGGTTCCGTCCGACGCGGCGGCAGCAGAGGCGGGCGCGACACGCGCGGCCCGGAGTCGCTGACGGCCTGTGCGAGTTCGCCGCCAGCGGCGGCTCGGCGGCGAGCTCGGGGGGGGGGGAAAGCGAGAAGCAGAAGGCCTTCTCGGAAGGCGGCGGGACTTCTCTCAGAAGCCCTCGCGCCTTCCGAGAGGTTCTTTTTGCGCGTGTGCCTTCGGGGAAGGCTTAGAAGAAAACCTCTCGGGAGGCCAGGGGGCCTCCGAGCCTTCTGAGGCAGGGCTTCTCCTTCTCGCTTCCCCCCCCTCGCTCGCCGCCGGCGGTGGCGAAACCGATCTCTGGAGGGGCGAACAAGCGGACCACCTCAGGGGGGAAGGGCCGAGACGACTAGGCGCGGGAAGCCCGGCACGCGCGGCAGCAGACGGACCCCCGGGGAAGGCACCGGGAGGGAGGAGGGAGGAGGAGGGAGGAGGAGGAGGCGGAGGAGGAGGAGGAGGAGGAGGAGCAGGAGGAGGAGGAGGAGGAGGAGCAGGAGGAGGAGGAGGAGCAGGGGGGGGGGGCGGCTCCCGACTCTGGGCGCTGGAGCTCGCCGGCGGGCACGCGCCCGCCTTTTCCGCGGGAGCGGCCAGCCGAGCTCGAGCGCCAACTCTGCGGTCTCCCCCCCGTCGCTCGAGGTCGACGTCGGAGACGACGCTCCCCCATCGCCGCACTCCCCGCGCGCCGTCCTCGCACCGGTTCTCACCCGGAGATCGGCGGCCGCTCGGTGGACCAGGCCTGCTTCGTCCATGCGCGATGAGCTGCGAGCGTCAGAGCCGTCTTGAGGCTGCGAGGACTGGCTGCACTGGCTTGCGAGAGGAACCCGGCACGCGGCGCTGTCCTCACGGGGCACCGACGCCTCGCGAATCTCCGGCGCTGCTTCTCGGAGCGCACTGCCTTCGAGCAGGCCGCGCATCTCCACGCCTGGCCGCGCTCGAAGAACAAAAAACTAAAACGCACTCCGGTCGGAGCAGTATTCGGATTGGCACGGGCTCGTGCCCTGCGTCTCTGCTCAAAGCTGTCCTGACCAGGAACAGCCTTGCCTGACATACACTTAGCGTGGGCCTTGGCCAGCCAGACCAGAGATTCCTCAACTCTTTTGCAACGGCGCTTCATCGCGGTCGCGTCCCTATCAAGAACAGCCGGCAAATCTCGGCCCTGGGAGGCCGCAAAGCCAGCCCACCTGGTGCCCCGAGCCTGCAAAGGGAGGCTCTTGCTGGTGCCCTGGAGCACGTTGCTCAAACCACCCAAGTCCTATAGTATACGCCAGGTCGCACACCACAAATCAGCGTCTGGGCGCATTGGCGAGCACCCCGAGGTGTCCCCCCTAGCGAGGCCTTAGGGAAGGTCTAGGTAATGTGTATATACAATGAGTGGCAGCATGCCAACTTTCAAAAGCATGCCAATTTTCAAAAACTCGGAGCAACAACAACACTCTCAGCCCTGGGCGATGTCTGGGCAGAATCCGGCAGTGCCCCAAACACACATCGCATCGCTGTGTGGCCGTCGCTCTGGGCGAAGACCCACCCTGCCCTGGACGCTTCTGGCCAGCAATGGAACTTGCGGCACGCGCCATATTAGAATGCTTGGCCCAAAACCTCCCGACAATCACCATACAAAGAATGCCACCCTCCAGAATCAACCCGCGCCGAAGGGATGGGAAAGTGGAGTGGCCCTGGAAAGAAGGCCCCT